GATGATAAAGAAAAATGAACGTCTTGGCTGGCACGATCAATACTCATCATTCTTCTGACATTTAGAGACCTAGGGTCAAATCAAGATTGATGGAACCATCTTGGCTGCTATTGTCATCATCACCAAATTCTAACTCAATTTCATCCGCCCTAGCAACCGGCTGGTTCGGTTGAGCGGCAGCAGCCCTTACCCTCATGTTAACATTATTAGGAGGAACTAAATTCGCCCTTTGAACAGCTTGTCGCATCATCTGTTGTTGTTGCTGCGCTGGTGGCGGCGGCGGTGGTGGCAGTTGTTGTTGCTGTTGCTGCAGCTGCTGTTGCTGTAGCTGTTGCTGCTGCAGCTGCTGTTGCTGTTGTTGTTGCTGCAGCTGCTGTTGCTGTTGTTGTTGCTGCAGCTGCAGCTGCTGTTGTTGTTGCTGTTGCTGTTGCTGTTGCTGCAGCTGCTGTTGTTGTTGAATAATTGGCTGATTATTTCTAGTTATTGACGGGGGTTGAATCGGTGGAGGAAAAAAGGGTTGGTTCGGACCTAAAGCAAGGCTCCGTTGAGGAATAGAAGCTTGGTTTTGAATATGCAAATAATTTGCCTGCAAAAGTGCTTGAGATGTAGAGGATGATGCCGCAGCATTCAAAGGATTAAAAGGCAGCTGCGGCTGGAATGGATAAGGGGGAAGATTAAGATTTCCTCCCCTAATAGCACGAAAGGTGAGCTCATCATCTCGCATGTGAGCCTCATAGTGGTTTATGAGAGCCTCAGTGCTATAAAAGACACGGTTACATAACACACAGTTTTCTTGAAAATTATTAGGGTTAGGATGAGATGGTAGACCACGATTAAATCCACCATTAAAGTTTCCATAGCCCGAGTTCCAGCCATAGCCAGACATGGTTAGCAAAACAAAAGTTGGAAAACAAAAGGAAATGCAAAGACAAAAGAAACGAAGTAGCTAGCAAAGAACTCTTTGTGATTTCTGTGTGGAAAGAAAGGTAAATGGGTGAGTGAATTTATAGTGAAAAGTTCTCTCACTTTGGAGAAAAGTTCAATAGATCATTAATGTGCCAAATTGTAAAATTAATTATGGTAGCAAAACTTTGTTTGAATAATCTTTTTTTTTTTTTTTTTGGTAACCGGGGTGTCCGGTTAACTTGCACGTATCTCAATTAATTTTCAAAGTCCATTGAATACCTCATAATATTATTACGGTTGATGACTCTAAGGTTTGAACTCATGAACTTAAAGAAATGAACAAACTTCCTTGAACCGTCAGGCCTTGTCTTTGTCAAATATTTATTAGCATTTTTGTAAATAATTCTTATTTAATCACTTATTTGATTCCACTCCAAGTACTTTGTGAATCGGCTAGTTAACTTCATGAACTCCTTTTCCACAAGAGCTCATGTAATTATTTGCTCAATATTTTGCGATACCAAAACGAAAATTGAAGGGACTTTTTCAAGTTCTTTAAGAAAGTTCTTTTAGCTAGGTAGACTTTATGAGGATTTGTAAACGGTAGATTCTCATTTAAAAGAAACATTTACCCATGAACCAAAAACAAAAAAATAAGAATAAAAAAATAAAAACAAAAACTTACATAAGAAGCTTGTCAGTTTGTTAATCAATTCCTTTAATTTCATGACTTAGAATGGTTGTTTTGGCCAGCACTTAGTGCTTCTCTGGAATTGTTATTATTATGAAAAAAGGTGATTTAAAAAAAGCTTATTTTGAGTGTTTGATTAAATAAGTTCAAAACCATTTATGACAAAGTTTACCATTTCTTACAAGAGATTTAATAAAGGAAGAAGAACACTTTCCCAAACTCATTTTTCTTACAAATAACCTAATATGGTTTATATTTTTTATTTATGTGAGTGAGAAAATATTTAGTGAGACGCACGTATGATATTATTTGTACACTGTTCAATAAGATTTCTCCACTCACACATTTATTTAAAATTATTAGAAGTATGTACGAATAATATGATACAACTATCTTACCCAAGATTTTCTATTTATTATGTTTTAAATTATTTAGAACAATAATTTATGTTTTAGAGTTGTTACCACATCTTTAAATTTGCAGATACATAATAACTCGCTAGCATATATTTTATTGTGTTATAGTGCAATGTATTTATAGAATGTACTAATTTTTTGAAACTATGCCCATCTCTTTATATCAATGTATATACCTTGAATTTGACATGCTCCATTAATTAATTATTAATGTAATGCATATTTTACCTATATATCACTTACATTAAAGATAACTAAGCCAAAAATATATTTTTTTATACATATTATTCCGTTTAGTTCAATTGCTAAGATCTAATCAAATCAAAAAGTGATATTCATGTTCTCACCTTTGGAAAAAAAAAAAAAAAGAGCTTAACTGATCAAAATTTGTATCCTTTTTGTATATGGATTTATGCATAAATATGTATGAAAGAATTTGTAGCATCAACTAAACGATATAATATAATTTTATTTTCTTTTAGAGTGATGCTATTGCCACACAATTTATCTCAATAAATCCCACCTCTAAGTTCACCTCATTGAAAGTTTTAAATGGATCTAAATGTCTAAATAAACCTCATCTATTTACAAAGTAACCCTTACGTTTATATCTTTTACTTTCTCAATCTCTGTTTATATATATATATATATATACACATTGGCATCACATGTGTTTTCTAAAAAAAATAACAAAACTTATAAATTTTGTAAATGTACAAATCAATTGAAAGTTAAACACAATAAAATAAACCTAAAGAATTTAATGCATATATGTTATTGATCAAACTCATTTCATCTTGATTATTTCAAAATAAAATTAGGGTTATGATAATAGAAATTTCAAATTAATAGAAAAAGATTCTAGATGGATTGTTGATAAAATACTTTTGTGTCTTTATTAGTGATTTTTATAAAGGATAAAACTGTAATTAAGAAGAAAAATAGTAATTAAAGGTTAACTAAGATAAAAGGTGGTGGGCCAATAGCACCGCTCTTCATTTGCTATACACTTTGTTAAACCAACACAGTTACCATATATATACTGATTACAATATTTAATAATAACTGAAGGAAAAAATAGTCATTTTATTTTGTCGTAATGCAAAGATAACACAACTCTATGTCATCTTTATCTAAATAATTACATGCATGTGCAAACCTTTTAAATTAATTCATGGATAAGAACTGATATGCTATAATATAATTAGATTATTTAAAATTAAATAAACAAATAAAGTAGATAATATGTTAAACATGCAAGATTGTCATGTCTTTTAAGAAATAGTTTGTATATATAACATTTATTCTTTATTTATATAACATTAAATACCGTATCTGCGTAGCAGATTATAAATACTAACATGGATATGTAAGATATATATTAAGTCATGCATGCTAGTTTAAAATGTTACTATATAATTAAGTGAGGATCTTCTCTGGTTTTTTTCATTTTATTAGATGAATATTAATATTAATACTTTTATGAAAATTGATTTAGTATTTCCCTATAGATTATTATCAATGGTAGAGTGAGGAAATATCATTTCAGGGCTAGAGTTGAAGTCCAACAAATAATGAGGGTAAATATTAAAAATAGAGTTAGGAAATTGCATCTAAACTTTGGAGGAGCTAAAGTGTAGCATTCAACAAACAATGAGGGGCTAAAAATTAAAAATAGATTTAGGAAATTGCATCTAAACTTTAAAGGAGCTAAAGTGTAGCATTCAACAAATAAGAGACGCAAAAGTAAAAAATAAAAAAACGGAGGAATAAAAATGACTTTTGTGAGTTTAACTTATTCATTGAAGTTACAAAGTAATTTTTAGTAAACCCCCATATGTTTCATCAACTTAACAGTAATCACTTGCTAGTTTCAGAAATAGGACCCTAAGCCTTATTTTGTCAATCTTTGTTAATCAAAACTTGTTAAAAAGCAAAATGACATTTTTTTCCTTTTTCTAAATTATTTTATAAATCCCTGATGGCCTTACCATCTTTTGTTGTTGGCATTGTTGCCCACAACAGCATTGTGGTATGGCTGAAAGGCCTCTATCATCATTAAGACTTTCAAGCTTTTTGTGGCCACCGCAAGGCCTGTGGTCGCCTCAAGCGGTGGCCTCAAGGCTTTTGGTGGTTGCTGTGAGGTTGTGGAGGCCTTCAGCAATACCACCACTATAACATTGTACATTTCTAGCCATGTCATTCATTGTAGTTAAAAGTACAAATTGGCATAGTTAAATGGTTTAGCTACAAATGCAATGTTTTGTAGCTCATCGTAGCTAGAAGTGGCACATCTAAAAGTTAGCCATGTAACCTTTTGCTTAGGTAACTAACAGTTTATATTTTTTTTGCTATGGATGAGATTAATGTGTAACTAAGAACTTAAATATTTTTGCCACAATAATAATAAGCTTGTAACAAAATCTTTGCCTTTATAGCCACGGAGAATAGTCTATATAGCTTTGTTTGCATTTTAGTTACACAAATATAAATTTATAACTAAATCATGAAAATTCCTGTTACAAAAATAATATCCATAACAAATATATTAATCTTTTGGCTACGCGACCACTAAAACCATAACTAAATAAAAGATCATTTGCCACATATATAGTGAATTCGTAGCTAAATATTAATTTTTTTGCTACAGACATATAGAAGTCATATCTATATATAAAAAAATATTGTTATGGACATAATGTGTTAATAGCTAACTATTGAAATTACTTGCTATGAATACTATTGATTTGTAGCTAAATTTTATAATTATTTGCAATGGAACAAATAATTTATATCAAGAATTTATAATTTATTGCTTTGATTAAAATTAATTATAACAAATATTGCTATAATTAACAATTTTAATAATAATTACAAATTTATAGCAATATTTTTATATTAAATAGATAATATGACGTCATAAGAAAAATTCTAATATAAAAATAAAATATTAATAAAATCATTTTCAACGAAATAATTGTCTACTCATAAAATCCTTTGTCCTAGTAATTTAAAATGTCATCAACTATTTTTTTTTTTTTTTTACAAAATATGAATGCTTCAATGTCATTACTACCACTTGAGCATCCCTCTACTCTTAAGCTTATTCCAATGCCGCCCTTTTTTGGAAGGTTCCAATAAGACGTTGTTTTCAGGAATCTCAACAGTTGATGATGAGAGTCTACTGTAAAGTAGTAGTTCATGAACGACTTCCTTGGGTTCCATGGTGTACTTTTCATCCAATGAAGACATCTTCGCCTTGAGCTCTTCTTCAATCTTGCTGTTACTCAAGTGTGTGATTGTGTGTATGTGAGAGAGTAATAAGATAAATGTGCTTCATATCAATACAAACTGGGATAAGTATTCAGTACTTGTCTGCCCAAACCAAGCACTTTGTGGCGTTGTTTTAATTTACCTACAAAATGGTAATATAAATTAATAATTATTTAAATTAATAATAAAAATGAATATTCAGATTAACTGTTTGGCTGATTGCAGAGAATAAAAGTGGAATGCAAATTGCATAATAATTATGTTTAATGATACATCATCAAAGACTAACAAGAAGCCATACTTCTTGCGAAGCTTCACGAGTTCAACCATTGGTGCAATGTCTGCATCCATATTAAACAAGCTGTAGAAAGAAGAGAATTAAGCACATCATCAGAAAATATGCCAGAAGTTAAAAAAATCAGGATTTTCAATAGTAAAAACATTAAAAAATAAATAAATAATACAACAGATAAACATAGTAAGACCAGCAATCTGTCAAACATATGGTATATTACCAAAACACCTAGCATATATTTCCAAAAGACTAACTATGAACCACAGAGCAGTAAGGTTTCATAGATAAGATGCAAAATATCCAAGGTATAACACATTCATAAATGGTGTCAGTCATGTATCCAAAGTTTACAATCTTATTAGAAGATTTAACTCAATATGAAATTACAGCATGAAAATTTGAAATAAAAATGAAGATGTAGGTCCAAACAGACTCTGCATCACACAGAGCAAGATTCACAATTACCGAGCTTGTTACTTCCACCTTCAAACTAAGAGAACCCTAAGTCAAGGCAGGGAACTAAATGGAGTTATTTTAACTCAACTTATGCTTAAACCTTGTGGCTGCTTGAGGCTCACACCTTAATATTTTGGAGATCCAAATGTTCATCTTACACTTTTCAGCAAGACCACTAAATAAGCTAAAGTCCAATATACCATCCCTCCAAGTTTCCTTTAGCTCTCCCTCAAAATGGTCCTGCAAATATCTAACAAATATTTTTAAGCAATCTAGTAGTTGGATTAAATGGGTGACCCTTTGAAATTAATTATGTCTATCCCAACAATAAATCTTATTGCTTATTAGCTGCCTAGTAGATGGAGAAAAAGTAAAAGTAAAGGGAAAAAAAAAAAAAATGATATCCTAGAACAAGCATCAGACTCTGAATAGTTGTGACCAATAACTATATAAATTTCTTAAGTTATCTAACCAAAGGGAAGACAAAAACTATAGTATTAAAGGAAGGAATTAAGAAAAGATGACTACCTGTCAGTCACAACAATTTTTTTCTTCATCGTGCAACTTGATCTGTCATAACACAAATCCATTACAGTGACAAGAACAATGGAAATAACAGATGGAACAAAAACTATTACATGGGATACTTTAAGAGAGAAGTGAAATGCTTACAACAGTGCCTTGAGATGGGACATGTCACAGTGTTTATAGATAAAAGGTTTTGCACTTTTTTGTTCTCTCAGCAAGACGAATACCATCAATTATAGACACATGGTTTAGTGCATCAGAAAATATGACAATTTTTTCATTTTTCAAAGGTTTATCACCAACAGAGCCAAGAGTGAGGCAATGCTTCCAATTGCTACCATCATCCTGTAGGACAAAGAAGACAATCCTAGAGCATAAATTGGGACAAGAACTTATCAGTTTTCAAATTATTGTAGTAAACATCTTAGCAGTCAAATGAAAACTAATATCAACCATTGAAATCGTAATTAGAAAAATTAATCAGAATCAAAAAATAAAAGAGAGAGACATAACAAATATGAACGTACGGATGAAGGGGGGGAGGGAGAGGAAAAGAAGAAGGCCGAAATTTCCCCTAAGGAGGTTGTTAATGGGAGAGTAGAGAACGATGATGGAGGAGACCAAAGTGGTGAACACCCCTTGAGAATACCACATCAAGGTGACATAATTCACCCGATCGATGAACACTTGAACCAAACTCGCCCATCCTTTTGGGCACAGGGACGCGAGAACCAATCCGAATAATCAACCCCTTTTTTACAAAAATCTGCCTCCTGCACTATACGGCTTCCTCTTTCACTTGAATTTCCAAGGGGCGAAACGTCGTTTTACAGCTGCTCCTCTACAACTACCTTTCGCCTAACATGATCACAAACGAAGACAGAGAATTGCGTAGATAGGAGGAGGAGACGAAGCAACCCATTTGTGCTGATCGGAACAATTGAAGAAAGAAAGAGAATGGTGGCCCCTTTCGCCCAGGGGAAATCTTCGGAGAACAATGTCAAGGATAGGGTGAGAACCTTCCCTTCCGTTGGTTACGCCTTTCCTTGATATGAAATAATAGTTTTCAGGAAGGGCGGCTATAGGAAAAAATTTAGGATTTGAATTATAGGGTTAGGAAAAAAATTCTTTATTTTTGGGAAGTGAGGTGGCGCATAAGTGAGGTGGTCATTACACATACTTTTTGGTCATTATTTATTTAGCATTATTTTTGGGAATTATGGGGTTAGGAAAAAAAAATTATGTATCTTAGAAAGAATATATACTTTTTGGTCATTCCACATATAATGCTAATATTAAAATCTAATTTACCAAACACATATGCAGTATATGGCTTTTGAAACTCACCACAATTTCAAAAACTAAATTTACCAAACACAATTCTGATTATTTTTAAAGTTTGGTATAAACTAATTAAACTTATAGCTACAATAATCCCAAACCAGCCCTTAAAATGATATATTTTACTCATTAAAATATATGTATAATCATAAAATTTATCTTAGTATATATTTAATAAATATTTAATAAATATACTAAAATAATTTATCTTAATTAAAATTTATTAAATCAAATAGTTAAAAAAGAAGAAGAAGAAAATAGGGTTGGTTGGCAACCAGCTATTAGAATTCGACAATAAACTGTTGAAATTAAGCAATCGGTGCCAAGACACGTCAGTGTCACAACTAGTCCTATAAGGACCAGCATGAGCTAATCTGTCGGAATCTGGTGGTTTCACTGAATTCTGACAAGCCATTTGGCCACAAAAGGTGACCGAATATTTTGCAGCCTTTTGTGGCCAAATAGCTTGTTGTAATCCTTTTATAGATTAGATTATTTCATAATCATCTTCAAACTTGATCAGTTTTAAAAGTTGTTTACCAAATACTTTTGTTGTTGTAGCTTAAAACTTAATTGATTATTTTTAAGCTACAACAATCCCTAACACACTCTTACTTTTCTCAACTTAATCTCAATTTTATCATCTTTAAAAATTACTGAATAGGATATAATTTATTTATATATATAATTTGTAGCTAAATATTATAATTATTTGCAATGGAACAAATAATTTATATCAAGAATTTATAATTTATTGCTTTGATTAAAATTAAGTTTAAAAAATATTGCTATAATTAACAAATTTAATAATAATTACAAATTTATAGCAACATTTTTATATTAAATAGATAAAATGACGTCATAAGAAAAAAACTAATATAAAAAATAAAACATTAATAAAGTCATTTTCAACCAAGTAATAGTCTACTCAGAAAATCCTCCATCCTAGTAATTTAAAATGTTATCAACTAATTTTTTTTACAAAATATGAATGCTTCAATGTCAGTACTACCAGCCTCAATTTAAATAGGTATTAAATAAAATGTCGATGTTCCAGTTGTTGCTATTGCCATCTCCGGTAGCTGACATTTTTGACTCCACCATTCTTAATCTCTTCTTCTTACTTTATTTTATTTATAATAGTCTTGTACCATTTTATGAAAGTATTAAACCAAACACATAAACAATGAAAAAGTTTTTAAGAAGGTAATTTTGCAGTATTTTATATGATTTAATTTGTATCATATCTCCTATAATTTTAACCATATTTTATATGATTTAATTTGTTTTTTTTTTTTTAATTTTCTTGCATTTTCTATATATAATTAACAATAAACAAACACTGTCATACTCAAATATTAATAATATTATTAACACTATCATCATCATCATCTAAAACATACATACAAGTCCATATATACAAATATGTAACATTACCAATTCTTATAATATCTCATATCTCATACCTAAAATCATCTATATTTCATAAAGTATTAGTTTTACCATAGAAAAGACAAAAAACCTCAGAAATCCTCTAAAATAAAATTTTATTTTACAAAAGCTCACACTTTTAGCTCGTTAAAGAGTTCTTTTAAGTTAGCTATTGGTTGAAGGTTCCAATTTACTATTGACCTTAGCAGTGTGATTAATACTATATTTGACCATAATTATTTAATTCATAAGTAATAAAAATATAATTACTGAGGAGATAAATTAGAATATCTATAATTGCATACTATAAGGATTGTAGTAAATTAATTTTCACATTCTTTATTTGCTATAATCCATATGATTTATAGCTAATACACACATACTAGCTATATATTTAAATTAATAGCTAATAATGATACTAAAATATTGTTACTACCATGAAAATAAAATTTGTATAACTAGATACCTTAATTAGCTACAAATTTCAATATTTTATAGCTAATGCACAAATAATAACTTTATTTTTAAACTTGTAGCTAATAATGATACTATATGCCATGTAAATAAAATGTTTATAGTTAAATACATTAATTAGCTACAATGTTTTACCATAGCTAACATTGTAGTTAAATGACTAGTTATTGCCACGATTTTAATAAGTTAAAGCAAGAGATGAATATTAGCTTCGAGGGAGGAAATCTTATCACTAAAATTATTTCAATTAGCTATAAATATTGACTTTTATAGCTGTAAATATGTATTTGTTACAGTTTTCCTTTCTGTAACTAATTTTTGTAGCTATTTGTATATATTGTTGTAATGCATAATGTTGTTGTGGGCGACAATGCCAACAACAAAATATGGCGAGGCAATTAGTGGTTTTTATGTTATTTTGGAAAAGGGCAAAAATGTCATTTTGCTTCTTAACAAGTTTTGGCATTTCAAAAGCCGCTAAGCTATGTACAAACCAGATCTGGCCTCAAGCATTATCAAAAGGTCAAATCTAGCCTTGACGCCTGTGAGGCCAAATCTAACCTTTCAATGTTGATAGAGGCTAGATTCGACCCTATTGGCACCTTTAGAGGCTAGATCGAGTCTCTTCACAACCATTAAAGGCCTAATCTAGTCTTGTGGCAGTCTACTGAGGAATTTATCAGCGAGCAAGGGCAAGGGAGGAAGAAGGTGGAAGAGAGAGAAAGGAAAAAGAGGAGTGGACAAAGGAGAAAGAATAGCTACGGTTGGGAAGGCTGAAAAGTCATGAATGTCGTTCCTTATAAATTAAAATTACAAATTTACCTGCTTTCAGTTAACTTTAATGACAAAAGTTAATGGAATGAGGGCTAGGAACCTATTTCCAGAACTAGTGAGTGCTTACTATAATTCCCTTAACACATTGGGATTTGCTCAAAATAGTCGTAGTTAATGAGGAGCTCATGTACATATCATCTTGTTTTTCATAATAAATTAAATATCAAATATGAGTGCTATGAATTTAGATTCTCCCACTATTCTTATTCTATTTTTTTTTTTTTTTTTTTTAAAGAACTGTATGAGGTATACATTTTTTACTTGTAAACTATTATCGTTACTAATTGGATGATATGGTGGAGTCAATGGTTAAGAAGTCATGAAATTGAGATAAGCACTATTAATCTCCCTAAGGTTTTACAAATTTTAAACCTTCCCTTAAGTATTATATATAAATCATCACACCTCTCCTCAGATTCGGCAAAATTAAAATTTACCTCTTTGACCACTAACTCTAACAGCCAAATTAATAGAAGTAAATATTTATCACATTTGTCCCTTTAATACATGTCAAATTTATTTGACCCTTTTATAAAGAGTAAACGACTTTTTTCCAACCAAGGTTTTGCCTAATGACACTTTCCCACCTGCCAAGTTTTATAATGACATTTTCCCGCCCACCTTTACAATTTGTCCGTTAATTTTAACTGCAGAATGATAATTTCAAAAAATAGTTCAAGGATAATTATGTCATTTACCCTCTTCTTCTCTCTTTCCTCTCTTCCCTCTTTCTTTTCTTCTATTCTTCTCTTGCCTCTCTCTCCTTCTTTTACGCTGACTGCAATCTTTTTTGTCTTTCTCTGTTCCTTATTTTTCTTCTTTATTTGTCTTCAACTTCTCAAATGGGTTCTTCTCTCTGTCTTCTCCCTTCTTCTTGTTTTGGCTTATGGGTTTCATTTGTTTGGAAATGATAATCTTGTTGTTCATAAAGATGGAAAATCTGTTAATTTAACTTTAGATGCATTCACAAATTTTTTGTTTCTTGCCTTTTGCTTCTTTTCTCTTTTTCTTTTGTTTTGGGGTTTTTACAAGTTTCTATTTCTTTTACAAGTTTTGGATTTGTGTCATGAGACCTCTATCTTCATAGCTTCTTCAGTGTTTCAATTAAGTTGCCTTCAAATTTTACTGTTGGAGTTGTTGTTGTTTTCTATGTGAGTTCTCTTCTCGATATTCTTAATTTTTTATTACTATATTAATTATAAAAAAATAATTCATTTTATCTTCTCAACAATTAAAATAAGTTTTTTCCTTTGGTTGTACAATTCTCTTGCTTAAAAGTTCACATTTTTCAACAAGGCTTCTCTTACTCTGATTGATTAGTATACTTATCAATAATACCTAGATGGGTTATTCTACAAATTTTTTTTTTTTTCTTGACAAAGTTTTAAACTTTAGTTGCAGATGTCAAATGACAACATAGTTGAGAAGCATGATGAGATAGACTAGTTGTCGTCGATGGTTATGATAACCGGCAGCACTAGTTGGCAGGCAACATGTTGGCCGACTGCCCTTTTTTTTTCAAAATTTTTATTTATGTATAAAATTATTTTAATATTTAAAAGAAGAGAAAATAAAAATAAAAGTAAACTAAATTTACTATTATGCTTTTTGCCGTTAAAACTAATGGAAAAATTGTAACGGTGGGTGGGAAAATGTCATTACGAAACTTGACGGGTGGGAAAGTGTTATTAGACCAAACCTTGGGTGGGTAAAATTCGTTTACTCTTTTATAAACTTCAATTTTCAAAGCTTTAATCACCTCTCACATATTTTCTCGGCTCTGGTTTTGATTGTCGAACGATTTTGGCCCTTTTTTCAGTGGGTCTTTTGTTGAGTCACCCATCTTTTGCATCTTATTTCATCCAATTCTTTTTCATACAAATTTCTCTTTTAATTCCACATAAAATTACTTATTTGAAGTTTTCAACTAAATCCAATCACCACCTGAGACTTATTAATCCTCTTGCTCCCTTGTACATTAAT